AAACTAGATCTTGAGCAAATGACTATATTTCTGGATGTATACAATTTATCAAAATGCAGCCACGAGAACATAAAAAACTAAAGAGATCAATAAGAAGCAATGAGATTAAAACAGTAATTAAAAACACTACCAACAAAATAGCACAAGACTTGATGAGTTTACAGCTAACTTTTGAAGAAGAAACCAAAAGCAAAATAAAGGATAGATAATAGAAAGTAGGGATATCCTTTTCAAATGGGAAGGGGGAAAAGGTGGTAAGAAGGTGGGAAGATAAAGAATTAAAAAAATGACTCAAAGAAAAAAAATGGAAATTTGCCTTTTCAAATGAAAAGAATTAGAGGGAGCAGGAGGGATAAGAAAAGAAGGGGACAAAAAAAGGGAATTAAGATATGTTACACAACATGTTCAAATTCTTCACAATAAATGTGATCTTTGTGTACTGCTAATGTGGTAATAAGAAAATATATTAATAAAAAAGAACTAACATCAAAATTCCTCAAAGTGTTCCATGAGGAAGCAAGAGAAGGAATGCTTTCAAATTCACCCTGCTAGGTCATCCTCCCTTAATATCAAATCAAGACAAGGGCAGAAAAATAGAACAAACAAAAACTCATAGAACAATATCCCCAATAAACAGATACAAAACTTTAAATGCAATTCTTATGAACTAAATCAACAGTGTATTAAAAAGATTGTATACTGTGATGCAAGGGATGCAAGAATAGGTCAACATATGCAAACTCAAAAATGCAATACATCACATAAAGTATTCTAACCCTGTGAAGAATACCACGGGGAGGTCCAGGAGACATTGGCCCAAGACTAGTTGAAAAGAGCAGTCTAGAGCTAGGGAGAAGGACTTGGCTGTTGTTACTACACACTGGCATTCATAGAAACTTTGTTGTGAGAAAGGTCATCTAAAGAGATAGTCAGTGACCCACAGAGAATACACTGCCAAACATGCTTCCAAAAGAAAACAAAATGGATAGAACAAGGAAGGAAACAGGAAGAGGGAATTTCAAGAAACCAAATTTTCTGGAATGCCAATTGGCATTTTTTTTTCTTTTCTCTTTTTGATACCAGGAATCAAATTCAGGGTCTTGCACTTGCCAGGTATGTACTTCCTCTGCTGAGCTATATCCCCAGCCCAGGACCAAATACTTGGGAGGAGGAAGCAGCACATAGGATTTAGCTTTGAAAAATCGTTCAGGCATCTTGATCCGAAGCTCAGTGGCCTTTGAGGAGAAACTAAGAGATCAACAAGTCTGAAATAAAGTTACTAAGATATTTACAGGCTGGGGATATTGCTCAGTGGGAGAGCTCATCCACTGGCAAGGCCCTGGTTAGATTACTAAATACAAGTAATTAGAAACAGATAAAAACTAAAGACCATAATAGGGTGCAATCATAACCTTCAAAAGTGGTGACTGCCTAGGGGTTTGATGGGAGCTCCTGAGGCAATCTGTTGGAATACTGTTGATGCTTTTAAAAAATAAGTGGCAGACATACAGGTGTGTTTATACTGTAAATAGACATGAAGCTGGCTACTTGTATTTCCTGTACTTTTAATATGTTTATTATCCTTCAGTAAAGAGTTTAAACAGGAAATCTTTCTGAGCATCACAGTTCCGTTTGGTGAAAGCAAAACATCTGAACATTTTACCTTTCGGTCTGTGGGCGCCTGCCCGTTAGCTCAGTTCTTAAGTGCCTGCTCACAAAGCCCTCAGGCTCAGGTTGTTGTGGTTGGATCCCCAGAACTCAAGCCAGCCAAACCTGCCCTGAAGGCATTCGGAGCCAACCCCCCCCCACCAAAAAAAAATCCTTTGCTCTGTGAATTATAAAGTCCTACCCATATTTTTTTTTTTTCTGATTCCCCTCCATTTTATAGGGCTTAGCTACCTGTAAATCTTAAAATCAAGTGGAGTTTTTAATTGTTCTCTATTTTGGTGTAAAAACCGACTTGTGTGATATATGGTGATCTGCTTCAGTTTCTAGGCTTTTAACAACCTGCCTTCTGAGGCTTTTGAAGGCCTGGACACACACACACACACACACACACACACACACACAGGTGACAGGGCCTCTGCAGTGGGGTGGTGTTCCTGGTCAGTCTCCGCTGGCTCAGGCACCCACGGGTCTCAGTGCTAATCGCCACAGGGTAGGAAGCTCTGCCTTTTGAGCTCAGTTCCCGTAACTTGAGCCCTTACTGGTGACGTTGCGCCTATGCCACCTCAAACTCGCCCCGCCTATCGCCTATCTCGTCCTACGCCCCGCCTCAGCCCTTGAAAGTCGCGGGACTGCGCGCTCCCGGCTGAGTCCCCCGCAATACCAGAGGCTGTGGGTCCCTGTGGGAGGTGTCCTGAGACCTCCGCGGCTCTCAAGTCCGGTGAGTACGTTTTGGCTGAGTGTGACAGGAAGGGTGGGTAGGTGTGTACTCGGTGGACCTGGCACACCGTTCAACTGAGATGACTGAGTTTGTCTCCCCTCACTGGCTTTTTGAAAAATGAGTATGAAATGGAAACTGACCACCCAGAGTGGTTTCTCAGAGAACAATAAGGCGAGGCAGTGCAACTGATTCTGGGTCTGGAACTGTGTTCATGGGCCCGATGGCAAGGTAACCAGCGCTCTTGTTTTTCTACCACAGTGTGAAGAGAAATAGCTGAGATGGGGTGAGCAAAAGCTTACAGAGCATGGAGATTTGTAGTGGTGAAGGAGAAATTTGTTAACTTCAGTATTTTCAAGGGATTGACCAATCTTTTTCTTATTCCCAAGAAATAAAGGTTGTCTGTTATGGGTCACTCAGAATAGGAACCAGATCAGCCAGGTTGGAATTTGGAAAGCCGTTTATTACTGAGCTCAGGGCCCCCCAGTCTGCTCTCACGCAGGAGAGGACCGAAAGGGCGGCAGCCCAAGAAGCAGGAAGGGGTTTTAAACCTTGGAATCACATTGCGTTTGATAAGCAAATTTACTGTTTGACACAAAATAAAGCTTTTAGAGTGATTGGGACCAGGACTTGAACTACATTTCCTGGGGCTGTTGTTTCAGTTTCTGGTTAATTTGCACCTGAATACCTGCAGGCAGCCTTGCATAGCCTGAAGGTTACAAGGAGTTAGAAGCCTTTGTTTAAAGGTATTGGTGAGTTTTATCTAGCAAACTACGGGTAACAGCCACTATTTACTAAACAATCTAAAACAATGGGTGGGTATGCATTTACAACAGAAAGCACAAGATTTACACCCATATAGCCTAAAATGTGAGTTAGCCCATTACATTGTCCACAATTTTGGGTGGTTTTCTAGAGCTTAATTCTCTTGTAATTTTTATGTGAATAGTTCAGTATAGTATTAACACTCAAAATTAACAAGCTTGCTACAATATATATTAAAAAGAATACTAAAAAAGTTCAAGCAATAGAGAAAAAATAAGGTCAAAAATTTAAATAGTAATGCTATCCAATAAAAAGCTTTATATGTATGTATGAAATGTAGTTTCATTTTTACCTAACCAGTAGAAATGTAAAAGCTCAGTACTCTTTCAGCATAAATATACAGATTCATAGTAGCAAATGTTTGTTGGGCATTTCTATTCCAGGCCCCAGGCATTTTGTAGTTCTCTTAGGAAACATGTTATTTTTAAATTGGTCGCCTTAAAATACACATGTGTAATTTATTTCCACATTTATTATCATTAAGAATCTGGAAAGTAGGGGCTGGGGAGATGGCTCAATGGAATAAGCGCTTCCCTGGCAAGCTCAAGGGCTTGAGTTCAATCCCTAGTTCCACAAAAAAAAAAAAAAAAAAAAAAATCAGGGAATCATTTGAAGTGAGCATAAGTATAATAACTGGACAATAAAACACAATCTGGATTAGAAAGTTGCTATGAGAGAGTATACAGAAATGGACAAGAGTGGACAGAAGGGCTTTTTGTGCTTCATAAAGCTTTATATGGAGGCCATTATAAAAGAATGATCATTTACACAGTTCTGTGATAATAAAGGGGAAAACTAGCTGCATCTTCAGGGAATCTTTTCCTGACATTCACTTTTGAGGGAGATGTCTTGTGGGTACATTACTCAAGGATGGAGAGACTACCAAATGACAATGGGAGAGCATCCTCAGTGCTAGGTCACAACACACACGCCCTGCATGGCTTCAGTGTTTTTCCTGAGATGGCTTATGTAGTTGTCATTGTTTCAGAACACATTAGAATGATAAACTCTGGTCCCATATGCTGTTATTTGGTGGCTGGACATTAACCAAGGATCCACCTAGATTTATGGAGGGAAAGGTGGATCTCATGGTCCTTCAAATATTTGTCAAAAAATCTTTTAAATATATTCTTACCTTTAACTGGTACTCATTAATTGAAAATTAATGTATGGTGTTCAGTGTGACATTTCAGTATACATATACATTGTGCATTGATCAAATCAGGGTAGTTGACAATGCTGCCACTTCTTGTCAACAGTTTCTAATGTGATCCTGATTGTGATGAAGACCATGGCAAGTGGGAAAGTTCATACTCTGTTGCTTACAGTGGCAGTAATCTTTTTTTTCCCCCAGTGGCAGTAATCTTGAATTGAAATTTTTAGTCAAAACTAAAGAGTCCAATGGTCATGCTATATCTCTCTGTCTGTCTGTCTGTCTGTCTGTCTGTCTGTCTGTCTGTCTGTCTATCTATCTTAGGCTTACAGGAATTTAAAGTTTGTTAGTAAAAAAAATAAATGTTGGGTCTGCCAGATAGCTCAGAGGACTAAAGTGCCTACTTACACAGAGCACAGCTGCTGGGGTTTGATCCTGGGTGTGCTGCGCCAGCCCTGCCCCTGGGGTGCACTGAGCTGGTGACTTGGGAAGCTGAAAACGGGAGGATCACTATGAAACCACTCTACATAGTGAGACCTTGTAGATGTACTAAATACTTTAAATAAATAAATAAATAAATAAATTTCCAAGTCACCTCAGAATATGAACCAAAGTTTGATAGCCTAGATAATTTTGACTTTATCATATTTTTTCTGTTGTTGTTTGCAATAATTACTTACTTGGGCTATAAATCACACACCATACAGTTTACTTACTTACAGTATGGAACTATGTGATTATTAGTATAGTTAGTTTTACAACCATCACATTCCAGTCACCATCTTCTCCAATACCCATGCTGTAAGCAGTTGTACCTCATTCACTGGGAGGCTGAGAAGAGAAATATAATTTTGAAATAGGAAGAAACATATAGATGTAAATACTCAGAAAATTATATTCCAAGGTAGTGATGTACTAATTGTTTTTACTGGGAATGGATGGGTAAATATAGCGCAAAATTGTTATTTTACAATGTGCTCCCCTCCTAATCTCCATGTTTATTTTCACAAAAAAGGTGAGTATTGTACTGCCAGTTTCTGCTGGTCTCTTTTTTTTTTTTTTTTTTTTCAGAACTGGGGATTGAACTCAGGCCCCTGCGCTTGCCAGGGAAGCGCTTATTCCACTGAGCCATCTCCCCGGCCCCTCTGCTGGTCTTTTGAAAGGAGCAATTAATGCTTAATTTTTTTCTTTCTTTTCATTCTTACTTTTTTTTTTCTTTTGGATGTCTTACAATTTTTTTTCTTTTTTTTTTTTGTGGAACCGGGGATTAAACTCAGACCCTTGCACTTGCCAAGGAAGCACTTATTCCACTGGGCCATCTCTCTAGCCCCTCTTTTCTTTTTTCTTTGAACCAATCTTGCACATTTGTATCTCGCAACCTGAACAACTAATTTGAAGATAGCGTTATGCAATACAACAATCGTTGTTGAATTCTTATTACTTTGTTTGATGAAATTTTGTATTTTTTCTAATGCTGATTTTTTTCTATCATTATTTTATGTTCTTTAGAATAGGTGAGTAAAGTCTTAGGAAAGTATGAGGCCTGGTTGCTCTTCCCAATTCTGTTGCAACAGATGTTGTCTTGCTAAGGACCCTTTCTGAGCTTACCTTGTATACATGCATTATAATTTGGTCATTTACCTTGATGGTTTGTAATATCTTTTATTATTGCCTGGTAATTGTAAGTAAAATCTTTTCCTGAATTCTGTGAGCTGTTCTAGAATTAACTTGTCCAAAGGAGGTTTTCTTGGAGTATGAATCATAACCAATCAGAAGGATAGATGATAACCTACTATTCAGAGTGATGTCTAAAGGGTAGGGGCAGTACTGTGGGGCTGCAGTGTCACTCTGTGGGATTGATACTCTATCCAAGTAAATGCTGTGATTTTTCTTTTTTTGCTACTGGTGTTTGCACCTAAGGCTTTCACACTGAATTACATTTCCAGCCTACTTTTTATCTTTTATTTTCAGACATTGCCTTGCTGAGTCATCAAGTGGCCCAGGCTGGGCTTGATCTTCCAATTCTTCTGTTATTCACAGGTTTGAGTTAAATTACTGAGTACTCAGCAGTTGCGCTGTAGAAATTTGCTTGCTCTGTGTGGGGACTCAGGTTCAATATCCAGTCACAAATTTGTTCTGTGATGTGATTTGAGTAGAAGTGAAGCAATGCACATATTGTCAGTGTGTGCTCTGACATTTACTTTAATGAAATATGTGTGATTTAGAAACTATATAGTAGTCAGCTACTTGACATCGGACTGATTTCAAGTTTGATTTGATTTCTAGTTTGAAATTGAGTGAGGTATCATTTCATATATCATTACTTAGATCTAGTAGTACTGTTTTTTCACCAAATCACTCACCTACCTCCATTTTCCTTTTTCACAAATTTTATGAAAAAATTCATGATGAGGCCATAATAGCAATAGTTTTTTACTGTATATCATTATTTTTATCTTTAAATTCAAACCAGGAACAAACCCTCTTAACATACTCAGTGTTAGTTTATACCCAGGAGTATCCAGCTCGTAATAATGGGCCTTCTTCAGTTGTTCTAGCACAGATCTGTTCTTGCTAGTTTGTTATTCTTTGGGAGTTTGGAACTAGTCTTCTTATCTTGGTTTTATGTAGATATACATTTGCCTTCCCCAGGAAGGTGTACTCCTTACTGCCTCTCAGAAGCAGAAGCTTCCGTAATAGCTATGCCTGGGGGACAGATCTACCCAGCGTTAGTAACTGGTATACTCCAAGAGATAATTCAAGTAACTTCAATTTCTCAGCAAGTGCAATTTCCACCCTTTCCTCTAAAAAGGAAGTGGTAAAATATTTCTGAAGAATTTACAAAATTCTAGGTTAACTCTCTATTCCTTTCCCTATATTCTAGAGATATCCCGTTATGCTTGATCTCTAGGAGGATATAAAGGTAATATTTGTTTATCACTGATATGCTAGAATAACAAAGAACAACTGTTTTTAATTTGTAGTCTACAAAACAGTGTTTTCCAGAATACAGCTTTGACTGGGTTATATAGATTTTCTCAAGTAATACTTGAGTAAAGACTGCTTGTGAAGCCTAAAGTCCTGTTTCTACAGTGTTGCTTATTTTTCTTATTTTAATTTTTAATTTGACACCATTATTGACTTACTAAAAAGTTGCAAAATGTCCAAAACAACAGAAAGAATGTCTATACCATCTGACAAACTATACTACGCTTGTCAAAACTAGTAATGGGCATTTGTTTAGAACTATGCTAATTTCATTTCAGTCATATTAAATGAATACATCTTTATTTTTCTTATCTTTCTGGTATCCTTTGTTGCATAGGATTCAATTCAGGTTCTCACCTTGCAATTAACTAATGTATTCTATGTTGATTCTTCAACCTTCATTCTTTTGTGATCTTGATACTAGCAAAGATTGTCAGTTAAGTTGTAGAATGCAACTCACTAGTATTTCTTGGATATTTGTTCATAAGTAGATTGATGTAAAGAAGGATAAATTTAAAATATTTTAGTTAAGTAGATGTACCTCAAAGACTTCAATTTTAAGTGAAATAAATTTGACACACAAGTTCAAATATCATGTTGTTTAAAAAGGATTAAATTCATGGTCTGACCATGGGGAAGTGCAGCAGAGGTAAAAAGCCCTTTTCACAGCATTTTTTCAGAAGTTTGTGATGTTGAGAAGCCTTGTTTTTGATGATGTTAATTTTGGTTAGAGCAAAGTTTGCCAGTATCTCAATGTAGAGTTATCATATTTTCCTTTATTGTTGATAAATATCTTGGGTTTGATATTTATATGAACAGTGTTTCGTCTGAATTTATCTAATTTTTGTTTTAGCTTATCAAATATGTCTTACTTGTTTGAATAGTGTGTTGTCTTTTTAAAAAAAAATTAATTCCTTAGAAACTTGTACATTTTTCTGTAAAGAAGATCTTCTCTTTTCCTTGTTTATTCAACTATTTATATCAGTACTGAATCATACTCTTGATAGCCCCAGTATGATCATTATTTAATTGGCCACTCAAATTGTTCTAGCTCTTATCAACAGGACAGTTCTTTCAGAATTGTCCTCATCCCATTCTGATATAATACTTCCATTGTCTTTTATCTTTAAAACTGCATTTCCCTATTTTCTGTTATCGAAACATGTTCCAAGCTCATTTTGGATTTTCCATGCCCTTACCCATCTATGGTACAGAGAAATTTGGTTATCTATGTATGTATGTATGTATTGCAATGGTATTAAAATCAAGAGCTAGAGATTAAGTACTCTTCCTGAAGTTACTTTTATTGTATTTTTATATGTTGCTGGGGATTGAACCCAAGGCATTTTGCATACTAAACAAGTACCCTACTATTGAGATACACTATGAATGTATGTGACCTAGCAGATATATCTGTACAAGAGTGGTGCACTCTCAAGTTCATACATTAGAAAGAACTTAACTGGAGTTGCCAATTTATTTTCTTTTCTGGAAGGAGGTAAAGTTGGTAAGATTTAGAAATATTTATCAATTTTTATCATAAGATGGCCTAAGTGCTTACAAAAGATTACTCACATGAACTTCTATTTGTTATGCTTTAATATCAAACCAGGGATAGTTTCTTAGTCTAGTAACTTAATTAAATAACATTCTAACTAATAACTCAGTCTATGGGGAAGGGATGATAAGTAGAGATCCTGTTTTTGAAATGTTTAAAATGTGCTCAAATGAGATATATTTTTGCCACACAGTGTCATTTTAGAGCAAGGCTTTAAACCTGCATTCTCATTCTAAAAATACAGATTTAGGACAGGTAATACTGTCCTCCACACTTTTCTTACAGGTTAGAGTATCTCTTACTGTCCAGAACATTTGGGAACTGTCTATTTCATTCATAATTTTAAATTTCTTCTGTCCCCAAGTCTTTTTTGGCACTAACAATGCCACAAATCCCATATTAAGCAAAATATAGGAGGTATGATGATGAAGACATAGTCTGGCCCTAAACAAACTGTATCATAATATGATTTTCAAGCCAGATTAACCTCATTCATCTTATTCGTGCTTCCTAAGTTTTGAGTACTATTTCTACTCTGTTTGGTTATCAGGTCCAGTTTACTTCTCAGAAATTTGATGTATAATTGGACTGTGTACACTCAAAAATATGTCTGCCTTTTGTTATGTGTTTTAAGTTTGTTTTTGTCACAGTCATGTGTACTGGTCATTGGTAAGGAATTTATCCATTACTCTGTGTTTAAACATTGGATTTAAATGTGCTACTGGGATTTACAGTCAAATCTAGTAGAACTATTATCTACATGTTGTTTTTTCCCTACAGCAAGGCAGAACTCTCCAGATGTGTTCCAGAAATGGCATGTTTTTCATCCCAATGTTACATAAAAACAGCAAAGACCTCCCTGGGATGACCCCTAGTGACCTGAAGACCTGTACTGAAGGGGCGGTGTTAAGTTTTCATAACATTTGCTATCGAGTGAAAACGAAGAGTGGTTTTCTACTTGGTCAGAAAACAGTGGAGAAACAAATACTACATGATATGAG